AGAGGGTTATTTTGTCGCTGAAATTGGATATGAATAATCGGAGAGCTGTACATATACGCGCGAAAAGATGTTACTTTTAAAAAATTTACATATTTGCCAACTCTGCATTTATTCCTTCCCACTATTAAAAACTCACTTTTAATAGTAGAAAAGAAAAATGCAGCTGTTAAATTGGTGAAATATAAAATTCTAAACATTTGATGAACACATCTAAATAAATCACACATTTTTTTAAATAAGCTAAATATGTCAAATCACAACTCTACTTTTTAGCAAAAAAAAAACAAGACAAAAAGAAAATGTTACATTGTTTTCTTTGAAATATTCCACGATACTTTCAAAATTAATTAGAATTAAAAATTTTAATATAAAAGCAAATAAAAATCATAAGTCACAGTTTAAGAATGTGCGTATCACATCTCTGAACATTTCAAAAAGTATAAAAATTTCATAGTTTATTTAATTATTATTGGGTTGGCGAAAATTATTTTATATACATATGTATATGTAAAAAAAACTTATTTTACAATATCTTCATTAAAAATAAACAAAATTTAAATTTATTTAATTAATTTACAAGTTGAAAAAAATAAAAAATTTTCTTTTCACTGTGTGCGTTTTTCACGTGTTCAAAATAAATTTGCGAAAATTTTGGACTATTTATTATGAAAACTTGAAGTTTTCCCTACAAAATAGCTTTTTAAAAATGTTCCTATGATTTTTTGTTCCTGAGCTATTTGCGAGTTAAGTAAAGGGCCGTTCTGATTTTGATTGCTCATTAACTCGTTTGAAAATCATCATAACGCAATTAAAAAAAAAAACAGATTCTTAAAGCTGAAACTTTACTCTATCGAATGACATAATTTCAACAAAAATTTCGTAATAAATGGTGGTTGAAAAAGAATCCTTTTACATATATGTAAAAGGAATTTTTCCCAATCCAATACCTGTATAAAATTTGAGTATAATTACACCTATTAATGGTTTAAAGTTTAAAGATCATTTCAATTTTTGTTTACTTTAATTTTAATGTAGGGTAGAGCGGGGATAGTTGTGCCACTTTTTCTTTAAATTATTATAAATCCTCACACAATTATGATACTACTAATGGTAAATGCTTTAAAACGTTGCATGTTTATTGACCTCAACAATTAAGTACTTATAAACCCTTAATGTATCTCGTAAATTAGAAAGAAATTACGTTAATTGCAAAGATGCAAAGTGGATCAATATGCCCCACCAATGGGGTATATTGGGCAACTCCGAAGGGCAAATTGAGCCCTTAGAGCCTTTTGAAAGTAATTGTGTATTAAGGTTATATATAATTTAAAAAATTGCAGAATTAGATGAGTTAGCGAAGTTTTTATTAGGATAGTTTGTAACTTATTTCTATAATAATTTATATTTTCTTTGTAAATATAAGAAAAGAATAAAAATGAAACTAAAGTTTTCATGATAAAGATTATGCATAAAATATATCTTTAATGTTAAATATATAACAAAATATAAATATAAATAAATAATTATTGAGTTTAGCTTCCTCACCTCCGATGTTAATAAAATTAAACTTATTCAATGCGTTTTTGCACGAAATGAATGAATCTGACAAAAAAGAGTGTCCCGCGAACCAAGATATTAATTGTTAAAGTTGACAGATATTCAGGTTAAGAAACCTGTCACAACGATGGTTATACAAACGGTTATACATAAAAGATTATACAAATTTTGTTTTATAAACAAATTCTCTACTTCAGAAACAAATTCTCTGCTTTTTAAAAACAAATTATGTTTTATATAATTTTTTTTCTACAATAGAGAATTTGTGTAATGGAAACAAAAAATACTTATGATTTTATAACAACAAAACTGTAAATAAAATAACAACTTTGACGTTAAAATTACAAACTATACTAATAACTTGTGATAAAAGAATATATTTGATATCTTTTAAATGCTTCAATTATTACGTAGACCAAAAAGAACATATCTATAATGACTACTTTCACTACACTCAATACTCAAAACGCTATAAAAAAGTTCATATCTTTTAATTGACGATCGAGCGTCGACTGGCGTTCTCATCTGCACCTCTCTCCTCGGTTACCAATATATTTAACATTGTCCAACTTGCCTTAAGCCCACATAGCCCCGCTCTACCCTACATAGAATCACCCGAGCGCAACAAGTCTTAAAAACGCTATTGACTTTCTCTTTTGATGTTAAAGCTCTCTTTTGAGTCTGCATTAAGACTTCTGTCGAGCCAACGGTTTCCTATTACGAAAATTTTCTAGAATTGTATACTCTAATTAATTATAGTTAGATGAAAAATTAATAAGAAAATTTTTTAATATCATCACAAGTTTTAATAAATAAAATTGAAATAATAGACGGAAAAAGTCGAAAAGTCGGCCAGTACTGGCCGTTTAGGGGTACTTTACTCTTGACGTGCGGTGGCAGCGAAAAACTTAAAAAATTATTTAAACATATTAAACAAAGAGTACTCGGGTCGACACTTGCATATTTCTTCGGAACTATTATAGTACTGTTGGAAAAAGTCGAAAAGTCGGCCAATACTGGCCGTTTAGGGGCACTTCACTCTTGACGTGCGGTGCCAGCGCGCGGATCGAAAAATTGTTTAAACATATTAAAAAGGTGGGTAGCGTCACTAAAACCGATCAGGAACTGTAGTTCTCTTCGAGCACTACAAAATGGCGCAAAAAAAATAATTTTTTTGAAAGTTGAGGTGCGAGCTCTTTTTTTTTTTTAAATTTATTTAAAAATATTTAATGGCCGGTACTATTGTTATAATCGATCAGGAACTGTAGTACTCGTCGAGTACTGTGAGATTCCGTCATAAAAATCGGCTTTTTCAATTCTTGCGGTGCCAAGCGAAGTTAGCACCGCATATTTTTATTTTTTATAATTTTTGGCCTAAATCAACAGTACTATTGATGAAACCTATCAGGAACTCTAGAACTATTGCGGGTGCAAGCAGTACTGTTATTAAAATTTCCGATTTTTAAAGTTAAGGTGCTAACTTCACAGAGACATCAAGATCAAAGTCATCAGGAAAGAAGGAGAGAGGTCCCCTATTCGATATACTATATAATATTATCAAAAATTAATATTTCGATTTTTTATTAAAAAATTAATTTTTAATTGGCTAAAAATCTACAATATTATTAAAAATATTTAATTTTGTAAAGATATTTTACAAATAGAAAGTGTATGTTATTAAATATATAGTATTTATATTTTTCATTAAATTGCATGATTTTTTAATTCTATAAAGTCGGAGGAATATAACCTATTATACTTTATTCTTAAAAATGATATTTTATTTAAAAAAAAAAATTATTCTTTAAAAAAATGTATGCCCTGTAGAAGATAAAATGTTCATGTGATTATTTTTACGTCAAGGTAATAAATTTACAAAGACCGCCGGAACTTTGGTATTTTTAATAGCTAGAGAAGCTTGACATGTTTTCGCGATAAGAACGTAATCGCCGTCAATTACTACTATAATTTTCATCCAGTATCTATTTGCACGCTACTTGGAATCTTCTCAAAATAAAAAAACCAGTGCTATCTTTGTACACAAAGTACCCTAATTCTTTTTCAAGAAAACAAATATTAAATATTATAAGAAAATAAATATTACATTTTATTAATAAAATAAGATTAATTGCCGTTAAGAGCCAACATAAGTTAAAAGTATGTATATTTAATTTGATAAAATACAATAAACGTTTCGACCCTATATTCGGGTTCTTATCAATATCGATGATATATTAAGATACAAGTTTATATTACACTGCTCATATTTTCACTTTAATTTTAACCTTGAAGTAACAACATCTTACATATAATTTTCTCATGTAAGTATTAAATTGAATTTGATTTCATAGTATTTCATATATTTAATTTCAAATTTGTTTTGATTGTTTTAGTATACTGAGCAGTTTAATGAAACTTTTCAATTTTATGTTGTTATCAATTCTGGATAATCATGTGAATTTTATTTAATATTACTAAATGTGTTAGACCATTAACAGTATATAAACTTTGTTTTTTAAAAATATTTTACAGTTAAACTTACATATAAATGAAAAGGAATTGACATCTGAAACAACATTTTAATTTTGTGACTACTATCTTAATATATCATCGATATTGATAAGAACCCGAATATAGGGTCGAAACGTTTATTGTATTTTATCAAATTAAATATACATACATTTTAACTTATGTTGGCTCTTAACGGCAATTAATCTTATTTTATTCATTTTATTCATATGAGCCTTTAAACTACATTGTATTATTTTACATTTTATTGTTATACTATTATATAAATAATAACATAAGAAATGCTTTAAATAATAGATTTGTTATATGTACATATATAATATTTTTAATATACTCGTAATAATTATTTTTATTAACATTAATTATACTTTTAAAACAATTATTAAAAGTTTATTTTCTGTACGAATTCTTAAATTAAAATACTTAACGTTCAAATTTAATATAATAATTAATATTCAAATATTTATAATTATATCTTTATTACAATATTTTTAGAGTTTTATTAAAAATCCAAAAGTATTTTAAATTCTAACACTTTTATATTTTAAAGATTTGAAGAATTCTAATTCTTGAAAAAATTATATTAAAGTTTATGGCAAACTTAAAATTTAAAATTTTCGATGCTTTGAATTTGTAATTTTTTTTAGAAGTTTCTTCAATTCTCTCTGCTTTCTCAGCGCTTCGAATGAAAACTGACTTAGACTATTGACATCTTCGAACTTGAAATTTTCTAAATTAAGATCTTTGAAACAAAATGTCTACGATTTTCTTTCAGAAAACCTCAAGTTTTAAATATTCGAATCTGTATATAATGATAAATCGGCACTGACATTCATTTTTTATAAATCACTACCAGTGCATACATACGTTTCATCAAAATGGAATTTACACTTGTATTATCAAATCACATGACACGTGAGGTGTTATAAATAAGTCGTATTCTTATCGAAATGTAAATGCACTTATTTCATTTCTTCCTCGTTTGGAAGCCAAGATCTCGAACTCGTATAGGTCAGTCCAATTCTATCTCTGGACCATAATATGCACCTTACAATCTGCACATTTTGAGAAAAAAATGTCTTGCGCCAAGGATCCAGAGATTCCCGATAACAGGAAAATGATTGTTTGGCCACAATGGCTGACCGCTTTTGCAAGTAAGTATACAATTAGTCAGTAAAATATTTTGATTATATATAAAACTACGTGAGCATATAATAGATAAAATAATTTTAATAATGAAGAATAAAGCATATAGCTGAATGTCCTGCGTCAAATTAATTAATTAGATAGTGACGTTATTAAATATTGCATTTTTTGTTTCGCCTTTCACTACATAAAAGCTATTATCTAATAACAGTAAATAATTATCTAATAACAATAAAATAAAATTTGGTTACTTTGCACAATTCTGCATTGATATGTTATATCCTATTATACAATGTCCGATTTTATTATACCTTCCCCAGGTGATTCGAAAACTAAGCCCAAGTAGAAATATTTCATACGTTATATGATCTGAACAAAGATAAATAATAATATTTATACCTGTAAAAACGGCGGGAGCAAAGTTGTACACCTAATATAATAAATATTTGTATAATATAATTTATTAATAATAATAAAATTTTGAATTTATTATAGTTATATTATTATTTATCTTTGTTCAGATCATATAACGTTTGAAATATTTCTACTTGGGCTTAGTTTTCGAATCACCTGGGGAAGGTTTAATAAAATCGGACATTTTATTTGTATAGGTAATAGGATATAACATATCAATGCAGAATTGTGCAAAGTAACCAAATTTTATTTTATTGTTATTAGATAATATATAAATTTATACCTGTAAAAACGGCGGGAGCAAAGTTGTACACCTAATATAAATACATTATATAAATATATCAATTATTTATTCCCCCCCCCCCATATATTATATAAATTTTTCGAATGTAGTACACAAAAATTATATGGTTTTTTTTATACATATATATGTATATATTATGCCGTCGTTTTCGTGTTACCGTCGGAATCACCCGTACACTAGCGCCCATACATTTCGGTTTGGATACTGCATGGCTACATCCATTTTTTAACACTGTCGATAAAATAGTAGCAGAGAGCAACAGAGAAAATGGATGTTACACAAATCCGTGCAACATCCATAAATTGGGACTCGAGAATACTGACTATGCATGTATAATATAAAATATAATACATGATATGTTAACGTAAAAAAGTGTATACAAAAAATATATGTATATATATCTTAATGTGAGCTATATTAAGTTATGATTATATGTAACGTATTATATAATATTTACGTTCGTACAATTTTTTGTTGCTATAACTAGAAATTTAATTAATACTCAATATTGGTACATGCGTGCGTTCGTGTGTGTGTGTGTGTGTAATATTATTTATGAAAAAGAGGATATTGAATAATAAACAATAATAAACTCTCTTATTTATTGTGTAAATATTCACATATATGATCTTAATAAATCGTTTATATCTCGTTTCGCGAAACAGAGCGACATTTTTTGCCAGATTCGATTGTTTCGTGCAAAAACACGTGAATCTTCGAATAAACCTAATTTCGTCAAAATTGGATGTAGGGGGCAAAACTTAAACATTCAATTACCTTCAGTCTCTTTTTTCAGAGAGTGAAATTTCACTCTTTGCAAAAGTAGAAAATTGACTCTCGCTTGGAGTAGTTCTCGTCACTCTCTAACAATAAAAACTTCACTTCTGCCGAACTGGCGGAACTACTCTTTGGGAGTAAAATCTTACTCTAAAAAATGTACAGCGTATAATATATACATATATATAGTGTTAATCAAAAGTAAAATGATTTTCTAGTTCAAAACTGTTAACTCTCGAAGAAAAACGTGAAAAAATCTTTTTTCCTTAAAAAAAATGTTGTTTATTTTTTCAACGCTAACTGAAACATTTTCTATATATCAGATATCTCATTGTATCCTATAGTGACTCTAGTAACCATCGTTACTGGTCTGGCCAACGGTTGGGCTTCCCCGTATTTAGCACAATTAACATCAGCGGAAGCAGATATTCCCTTGAAACTAACCGATATCGAGGCATCTTGGGTGGCATCTCTTTTAAGTCTTGGACGTGTAATTGGGGCATTTATTGGCGCATTTTTCCAAGGTAAGAATCGCTATAATATTTTGCTAGAGAAACACGCATATTCATCTTCTTAAGAAGGAATCCTGGTTTAGGGGTCCGAAAAAAAGTGATATTTGTATTTTTTTTTTTTTAAATAGTAATGTTTTTATCATTTTAAAACTTTTTGCATGTTGTCATACTACTATTGAAGAATGCAATTAAATTAAAAAATCTACCAAAAAACTTCGAATTTCGATTTAGAATTTTAGAAATACATTCTCGAAAAGTCGCGTACCGTCGTTTTATGAAAAAAATTTTCTTAATTCTGTAAACCAGGCCTTTTCTTAAGATACAGCATAAATTTAAAAAGATTTATCGAGATAAATTTTCTCCAAATTCATTGTTTAAATTCTTTTTATTATATGCATGTACCCCAACATAGATTAACTATGTTTCTATTGTGAGAATTATCAAACATCCCTATAGGGGAAGGGAAGATAAAGCGGAAGGAAAAGGCAAAGCGGAAAATATGTGACAGCAACATTTTTAAATACCTAGTCCAATATTTAAAAATATTTAATCCTCTTCCTATTTTAAATTTAAAAAATTATTAAATTAATATATATAATATATATATATAATAATAAAAGAGAAACACAAATTCAATTCTCTGTTCCTTTTTCTTTTGATTAGCAAATTTTTCTCGATTTATCAACCATTTACCGTTAAATTTTCTCCCATCTAACATAAATATGAGCAACAATTCGCGATCTAAGAACAAGTTAACCACGACTCAGCAATAGTCGAAAAAAAAAGTAAATCATTAAATTTTAACAATAAGAAATGAAATATTAAGAGAATACGAACTGAAAATGTTTAGAATCACATATCACACTGATCGTTGAAACATTTGAAATCTTGGATGTACGAATTTTTATACCCTCCAAGAGTTGGGAAGTAACGCGTTATTTTTGTAACATCATTGCCATTACTTTTTGGTAACAATCATTCCTTTTTAAGTCTGTAACTATAAATATTATAATGGTATAATATTGTTACATTTTTACACAGTAATAATAATTCACGGTTAATTCAACTGTTAATTTATCGTTATTTTAATTTTTTTTTGTTTTTAAATTTATGCAATAGATTCTTATTATTTATTTTTTTTTATTCTTGATTAAATAGAATAAATAGAAATATTCTGTCCACGCTTTTTATTAATATCTTTGATAACATTTTTTATGTTCACGCGAACAGCTGGTATTCTTATAAGTACTTATAATATTGTAATTTATTTTTCTGCAATTCTATTCTCTTCTTCGTTAGCAATTTAAATATTTTATATCTTATATACATCTTAAACTATATTCTCCAATAATAATCCCAATATTTACTAAAAATCTTATAGTATACAGAATATTTTGTTTCTACTGCATTTCCTCATAAGAACGTATTCTTGAAATAATTTTAAGTAAAAAATCTTGATATGAAAATATCAAAACTATAATACTTTTTAAATTAATATCTATTAAAGTTCACTAATCACGAAGATAACATTTTGCGTAATCATCCGTGTGGTTGAATTAGAGTGAGAAGAAATATGTGACGGAGAGAATTTAAAAGGATGTTAAACAGATGCTCTGCTTGCAAGTGCATACGTACAGAGAGTATACATTGATGGAGAAATAACAATATGAAAATAACTCTTTTCTCATGTAATGCAAAGAAAAGACATTTTAGTTCAATTAATATTGCATTATGTGTAGAAAGTAAGAGAGCTTTTATACTTATTTAATATAATCAGGTTATGCTGAATCACAAAAGCAATATGATGAGTTGACAAAATACAACATGACAGGAAAATTATAAGGAGATATTGCACTCGGGTTTTATCCAGGATTAATCTTTCTATTATACTGTATCTTGTCAATTTCATGCTTATAGATTTTAATTTTTTTGAAATAGTTAAATTTTTACTGTTGTCCCCTTTTCTATATTTTCTTGAGATATTTATAATATATTTATTTATATATTTCTATATATACTTCTCAGTCTCTAAAGAAGCATCCTCCTTTTCTCAATCATACAAAATGATTTGTCTGCGTGACGTATGTATAAACGAAATAAAACGAAGACGATGTATCTCATATTTAAAGAGATCAAGAGTCGTTCTGTTCTGAGTTGTGGTAATCTTGTTCTCAGGATGACATGTCTCTAATACGTGCCACGACACAATCCTTCAGAGTACACCGGGCTAAAGAAGGTGCTGCTATTATCGAGTTTGCCGTTACTCTCTAGTTGGATTCTCAACATTTGCGCCACATCGGTCATGTGGCTGTACCTTTCCAGATTCTGCTCCGGAGTCGGATCGGGCATTATGTGGCCCGCGATATCTTTGTATCTCGGCGAGATTGCCAATCCAGCTATCCGAGGCTCTCTGGTAATTTATTAGGTCATTAAGTATGAGATGTCCATTTTTCATATTATATTAATACGAAATGTTTACAGTTTTAAAAAAAAATTTGACAGTTATATATTATACCACTTGATAAAGCAAAATTTCAACTTTAACAATCCGTTTTTTTAATTGCATTACGATGATTTTTTTAAGGAATTATAATTAAAGAGTAATAAGTAATTAAATTCAAAATGCTTCTTTTATTTAATCTAAGATAACTCAGTAAAACTTTATTTTTCTTCTTCTTTTGATTGGCTCCCACAACCAGATCAGCTGCGACAAAAAATCTTAATTAAAAATATAATTTTATAAGAAAAGTTTTGATTTTATTTTATCTTGCTCACAGTTTTCTATATACACATAAGAATTACTAAACTCAAAAAATATAACGACCTTGTGAAAATAGAGATTTTTAATTTTAAAAATTAAATTATCGTTTTAATTTAATTTTTGTTCATTTTTAATGAAGTTACGGCTATTAGTAGTAATACGAAAATCAGACATTTCATACTTAATGATCTATATAGTTAACGGAATCCTTCCATATATAAAGCTCTTATTTTTACATGATTCTTTTTACATATCTTTTATACTAAAAATCTCAAAATATATACAGGGTCTTCCATTAAAGAGGTTTTGTTTTAAATTTCGCAGATTTTTATACCTGTTTTAGATGGAGTTGTTATATTTGACGGTTGTCGAATAAAAACTATATGGAGTTCTGGAGAAACGGTCGCGGCTGACGCATTTCGCTTTTTTTGAAAGTATTGCCGACTTAAATTGAGTACTGTATCTTACTTGTTTGTACCGCAAATTTGGATGACTCGTTCGTTCGTCCTGACTCGCATCCTCTTGTTGCGTGACGGCGTAAGGAATCCGGTGTCCGAGTCCGAGCGGGCTCGCTATTTTCGCGGGCTTTGGGTTCTTCTTCTTCTTCTCAGAGAGAAACCTGATATCGGCCATGGCGACCTTTTTCCTGTAATGCTTTACACTAGCGGCACCAACGTCCATTTTCGAGCTGCGGGAACTACGTACCACGAAAACAAGCGAGACAGAGAGTCTCGCTGTCTCGCTTGCTCTCGTAACTGTGACGTATCCCGCAGTTCAAAAATGGACGTTGGTGCCGCTAGTGTAAAGCATTACAGGAAGAAGGTCGCCATGGCCGCTTTCAGGTTTCTCTCTGGTTTCACGTTTAATCGCACCATCTGTACTTTGAATTAGAATAAATATAAGTATCCCAATGTTTTCAAAAACTTATTCGTTTTTTTATTAATTTAAAATAAAACCTCTTGGTGAAAAACTCTGTAATTGTATAATTATATTGTCCGAAAATCTATAGCAGATCCATTAAAACTACTCGAAAGAAATTAGATCAATTAAAGAGTTTTTAATCAATCAATAGGTCGTCATTTGAACCAAATCGAAAAAAATCGCGACATTATTTTTGCATCAACCTAAAATTTAGTTAAAAAGTAGTAATAACTAACTTTGGGTGCTTTCCATTTGATGACACAAGTCGACACAAATATCGTTCTATCTTTCTTGAGATTTAGAGATTGACAAAGATAGAACGATACTTGTGTCGACTTGTGTCATCAAATGGAAAGCACCCTTTGTTACTCTTCCGTACATTCATCAGTATGTAAGTATATCTCAAAATAGCTCCATTTTATTCATTGAAATAATTTGAATAATTATATTTTTTGATAAAGCAAATTGTCATATTTTATTTAATGTTTACGAGTTAATCTTTTTAAAACGATACTTATTTTTATTTTTCGATTATTTTTCGTAGATATAATTTTTTTAGAACAAAACGCTGTTTTTAAACTTTTCTGCGAAGCACTTGCTATTATATATTTTTTAAATCACACCTTTTAATATTATTATCGAAACATTTTTATATAATTTTTTTTATAGATTTAGATTCTGTACAATTCGACATTTTTAATAAAAAATATTAATTAACTAAATAAATTTATTCAAATTTGTAGAAGATGCAACAAAAAAGAAATATCAGGTCTAAAATATCTATTATCAATATATGTTATATGTATAAATTGAAAATGTTTTTCGGATCTGTATAGGTAAAGATTAATTAAATATTTTTATCAATAATCCAGAGTTTGCAAGTTTGCTGAACAATATTGCAAAACCTTGTCATCATATAATACGTGATCGCACTTTCAGATATCCTTGAATGTGAATGCAGCGTCGTTGGGTATGTTCTTGGGCAATACGATGGGCCCTTACCTGTCCATGGAGATGTTCAGTTATGTGAGCCTCGTACCAAATATCCTCTTCATGGTCCTCTTCAGCCTAATACCTGAGTCACCCTATCATTATGCTCTTCACAGCAATATCGACGAAGCTGAGGCATCTCTTAAGTGGTTCCGACGAGAGGCTGATGTTAAGGCCGAAATACAGGAGCTTCAGGACTTCGTTGACGGCGCCAACACTAGTATTTTAACAAAATTCAAAGACTTCCTGTTACCAGGTATCCCGAAAGCAAAGTAAATTATATCTTTGATCGTGTCTTCAGCATAAATTGTTTTTTAACTTTAAAGTTTTTAACATAAACATGAGTTTTTTTTTAAAGAGCAAAATTACAAAACACACATGTTAAAACTTAAATTCAAGAAATCTTTACTAGAAAAAATTTATAATTTTTTATGTGTATTACTTGATTTACCGAAAACTTACAATTATGAAAAATTTTTATTTCAAATATTTTAAATTTAAATCAGTATTAAATGATGCAATAATGCATACATTTTGTTTATAATTTATTATTAATATAAAATAAGTACTATTTATATTATTTATACATGCATATATCTATATGATAAAAACATAAACATCAAATATATTAACGTGGAAAAACTACAAAAAGATATATACAGGTTCTATGTATATGTGATGTTATGTAGCAAATAGTAAAATTAAATAAATTTTAAATACATTTAAAAATAATCTTCTTTTGTTTCAGCAAACTTGAAGAACTTTTTTATCATGTTCGGCTTGCAAGTCTTCGTCCAAGCAAGCTCGTTCAGCACAATAAACGCCTACGCAGAGATCATCGTCACCAGTACCAAGGTGAACGTCACTCCATCGATCGTAGTAATGGCAATGTGTTTCGCTACAGTTGTTGCTGGCTCTATCACCATCTTATTGGTAGATAGATTTGGTCGGAAGAATCTGCTAATACTTTCCTGCATCGGCGTCACCGTTTCATTCATTGCTCTTGGTCTTCACTTCTATTTCCTTTCTTTGAATTTTGATCCTGAAAAACTGACATGGTTGCCAATTACATCATTGCTATCCTTTAATCTATTCGTGTCTTGTGGTCTAACCACGGTGCCTAGTACTCTTGTAGGTGAAATGTTCCCAGCAAATCTTAAGAATCTAGCATCTCTTTGCATTTTTTCGAGCAATGCTCTGTTTTCCTTCATAGTTGTCAAGAGTTACCAACCTTTTGTTAATTTAGTCGGACAAACAATCGTCTTTTGGAGTTTTGGACTTTTCGTATTTGGAGCGGTGCCCTATGTGCGGTATTTGATCCCCGAAACGACAGGCAAAAGCTTACTAGAAATTCAACGATCCATTAAAAAATAAAACAACGTAATAAATAAACAAAAGAGGGCTACGAGCCTCACAAGGTTGATGTTTAATAATCTATCTTAGATATACATATTCGGGTGCGTTCCACTTGGCGCTCACAACGCTTGCGAGCGTTATTTGTCCTTGTTTAACATTTAATAAACAACAAGGATGAAATGATTTCATGAGCGTTGCGAGCGTCAAGTGGAACGCACCTTTAGATGTACAACAAACGTTTCGACTCCGATCGAATCATTCTCAATGAAAATAAATTAATATAAAATATGGTATAAAATTGATAGTGTCTTCAAAATCTGAGAAAGTATTGGATGTTCATAATTTATAAATTAGTTATAGCGTCATAAGTTAAAAATTGAATAGCAGTCATTGTATAAAATTCCGAATACATAGATATATATTGGATAATTTTTTTCTGTTAATTTAAAATAAATTAGTAATTATTAAAATATATACATAAACAAAGTTATATCATAAATTAATCTTAATTAAAATAAAATTACATTAAATATTGATCAGAGTTGGAGACTTTTTACCTTTTTCCTCTTATAACAGTAACGGTAATGTCACATTTTTATAAGAATGATAATAATTCGCAATTATTATAGGTACTTTAGTTTTTATTAGATAGGTCGAATTGAATATTTCACAAAACACATGTTGCAATAATCCTGTATATGTTAAAATAAAATATTACTGCAATATTATGCAATATTTCAATTATTAATCCAATTTTATTAATTAAAAAAATATTATTGCTTAGCATTACATTCCAAAATACATACAATAAAGTTATGATCAAAAATATTTGGAGACCTAGAAAAAACACCCGAAAGAATTTGAGAATCTCTCAAAAACTCTCCAATAAACTCGTTTTGCGTAAATCTCCTGAACTGCTTCTTACGAGAAATGCGTCTATCTCGTGGTAGAGTCGCGTACTTACTTCTTGAATTACAATATTGCAGTAACACTTATTACAATATTTCCTACATTGTATTAAAATTATAATATTTCACAATATTTATAATATATTGTAATATTTAAATTTCAATATTGCGGCAATATTGCTGCAATTTTTGTAATATTGCGTACCATCACGCGTAAATATCACTGTAATGTTGCTGCAATATCTCGTACTGTAGGAACTTTAATTGTATTGTAAGTTATCTAAATATAGGTATATTGGAAGTATGAATTATTTTGTATTTTATTTAATCGTATAAACAAATTAAAAAGATAATTGTAAAATAAATTACATTTTTATATTTAAATACTATAATATAATAATATATAGTATCTTTTAAGATAATTTTTCGTTATTAATATTTAATATTTATTAAATATAATACATAACATACATATTATACATATATAAAAAAGTCTGTAATTTAACACAATTAACTTAAATTATTATTACAATAAAAAAAGTTACATATTTGTTTTTTGTTAAAAATTGATTATAATATCATTTTATCATATAACTTTATATATAAAAGTATTATAGTAAATACTATAATAATAATATATTAAATAATATATTTATTTTAAGGTTTACATGCTTTAACTTATTATAAATGTCATAAAAATTTTGTCATTATTAATTTCTTCATAAATCCGAATCTACACAATAAGTTTTTAAGCCTTAAGCCATAAGAAATGGGCGAATCATAGCAATTATTTTCCTCATATTTGATTGTAACTAGCCAATTTCGTACGGCTTAAGACTTAAAACAATAATCCGAATTAATAGGATAGAGCAGGGACTTCTTCATCCATTTCTCGCAATAATGTTTATGTTTCTGAACAGAACAAGTTCAAAGTTGTGCTTATGCTTTTAAGAAGCAATCGTGATCGAATAATGTGTAATTACTAGCACGTCACTGCAAAGTGATATTGTTTGCTATCGTAAATTTTCATATTATTTTAAAGTTGAAACTGACAGAATAGCCCTGCCTTATTCTATTGAACAAATAGTTATAATTGATATTAAAATATAGAATTAATATATTTAAAATAATAACTAATGATTAATATTTTTAAATATATAATAATAATATATTAAAAATAATAACTTATAATATATTTTGTTGGTATTTAATCAATTTTAGTTGATATTTAATCAGAGTGTTTTTCTTTAATGTCTATAGATAAGGCACATAATTCTTCCACTACGCTCTGCACATTCAAGAATTTTTTTATTTCTTTAGACATTTTGTTATACGTCTTTGAATTTTCTTTCTCCAGAAGAGGACAAAAATAATCGTTTAAAAAAATTGAAATACTCTGGGTATTAAAGTCGAGGAATTTATAAAATATCTAAAAAATTTAAAGAAAGGATTAATTAATTAATTTCTAATAAAAAAAGTTCATTGTTTGTTATTAAGTTTGCAAGCTCATAAATAATTACTACACAATAAAGCATTTTTCATTAAGTACTTTCCAAGGATGTGTTTCACTAGACGCTCCCAATGTTCATGGAATTATTTCGTTTTGATTTCAAATATTAAACAGGGATGAATAATACTAACGAGCGACAAATAAAACGCACCCCATAGTTAGAAAGCTTGAAAATTACAGTGTACCGCCAATATTAGCAATATCACCGACAAGATATCATTTATTAAAGACGGCCGTTCACGTTTATGTTAAAATTTAAGTGATTAAGAGTATGAAATTGATAAAATTTCAAATTTAATAATTTCATTTTTATTTAAAACTAATTTTAATGTTATTATCTGAGTTTAATTAGCAATACAACCATATTTATACATTTATAATATTTATATTAAAAATCTCAAATCTGTATCAATTATTGATAATGTTATCGTTTTTTAATTATTTTCGGACCCTCAGAACCCCATTGATAGTCACGAAAATTTATTCAAAGTCGGCCGTCTTTAATAGTATTTCATCAGTCCAAAGTTATTCATTTGTAGTTTAGGGATCAAAAGTTATAACTCAGATAGTAATATAAATAAATATAAAGAGAGATTGAAATATATATAATATTTACTATGAAATATTAATATCTACGTTTCGATCTCTATACCTAAATACCTTGAATTTGTTGCTCGATGAATTAACAGCAAGTGCTTTTAAAAAATATTCTGCTGCATTTTGCATATCTTTATGCAGAGAATAATAAGTTATAGCAATAGCTAGAAATATAGCTATTTGTCGTTCCTTAATGGTTTGTTTATATTTCTTTAACATTCGCAATAAGTGTGGTAGTGGTTCCAATTCTCCTACTTCCCAACCATACTGTATATAAGAAAGTTCTGCCACCAAGTTATTACGTTCAGCAGCCTTTTTATAGTACTTTAAGGCTTCCTTCAAAATGCAATATATATAATTTAAAAAGATACGATATTAAAAACATTAAACTGTGATATTTACAGATAAATATAAAACGTAACATGCATAAAAATAGAAAAAGTTAATAAAAAAAATAATTTTTTCAATAAAAAGAAATTAAATATAAAAATATCTTGCAGTTTTTGATATATCTATATTGCATATAACTCGTATTTATTTATTTATTATTAGAATTCTTTCACAAAATGTAGAATTTAATTAGGTTTATTATATCTTCTAAATAATACTATATTAAATAATTCTATTATTACACTAACTTTATAATCTCCACTTTGCTCGTATAACATTGCGAAATAATGCATACATGTAGAACAATTTGGCGCTATTTTGTATATAGCATCAAGACAATCTTTTGCTAATAGTCTCTCATCTGAAGATGTACGTAGAAATATAAGAGCTAGTTTTAACAACACTTTATAATTAGTTGGTTTTGTTTTTAAAATCTGTTTGGCTATGTTTATTACTTCCCTTTCATTAGCAGCTTTCTTCATCATAAAACTTCTATCTCTACTAAATTTGTAAAAACATTCAAGACGCATTTGCAAATAATATATTCCAAATGTGTTATTCTTGGACATAGCAAATGCTATTTCAAAATGTGTCTTTTCCATATCTGATACGACAGATGAAACATTTATTAAACGTCTCTGACGTCTAAGATTCTTTGCCAAAATAAAATGCCATAATGCACAATTTTGATGTCTTTCCACTGCTTTTGTAGCAAAATCAACTGCTTTGTCCATACCAAAATCATTTAGGCATGACCACACAACACTTTGACAGCCATACAACGCACCCAATTCTATATCATTGAAGTCTTTAGAATCGATGATATTTTGCAATATCTCTTCTAGTTCATCTATATCATTAGCATCATATAAGACAAAGCATTTTGTAGAATAAAAAACATGTTCAATTACTCTCATTATATGAGAAAATTCTATCCTGTAATCATACAATAATATTGATTAAGAAATTTATAAATATAAATAAATAAGTACTGTATATTTTACTTTTGTTGAAGCTGCATTAAAATCTCTCCAGCTTTTTCGATCCTTTTTGTTGTTTCATCAACATCTGCACTTAACAAAGCTTTGTAACATTTGAACAAAGATTTTAGTAACTGTTCTAAAGGGTCTGTTTTATCATCATCTGTTTGATCATTTTCATCATTTATTTGATCATTTTCATCATCTTGCTTCTGACATATTAAGGAATGTTTTATCATGTCATCCAATATTTCCCAAGTAAATGGACACTGTAATTGTGAAAGCTTTGCCTTTGAGCTCAATGTCTCTTGTTCATCAGCCATGTCCTTGATTAAAAAAAAATAAATTTATTAACATTGATAAAAATGCTTGAAGATATATGATTCAAAATTAAATTCTTCTTCATAGAGAAAAAAAGCTTTATTTTTACATTTTATAATTCAGCTTTAATTGTATACTTTATAATTTATTAATCCTTCTTGTTCCTTTCAATAAATCTAACTGTTCTTGTATTGCTTTATTTCAAGTCAGAAAGCATATTATTGCAGTTAGAAAACATAAGAAAGAATAGTTGAAATACATATAAATAAGTTATGCTCTATTTCTGCCAAACTAATGGCGTTTTGGCCTGACCAGGTTTGCACTAACCTGGGTAGAATTAATGACGTTTTGTGCTCTTCTATTTGTAGAGCATGTAAAATTCACTAATAGCAAAGTATTTTCTAATCCAAGTTGGTGCAAACCGATCGGGCCGAAAACGCTATAAATTAATCTTAATTTCGGCTTGATTTCTTTTTTATCTTTCTCGAGTTCTAAAAATTAAAGAGATAAACAATAAATTAAACCAAAAATAAAGTTAATCTATATTGGTAGAAATGGATAACACACACGTATCTAAAATTGGCTAAGTAATAATGATATCAAAATACATACTTTTTGTTTCAATTATTAATGTGTATTAACAGATCTGTTTTCTGTGACTGAATTAATATAACTTGTATAGACTCATGGAACTTAAAGTGCCATAGGTTTGATATTTGATAAAAGCGATATAATCCGATAAAGAGTTGGACGTGCACAGGAATAAAAAAAATAGACTTATCACCTAGGGTGCGTTCCAAGTTACACAAGAAGTGCATGATACATCATTTATCCTTGTTCAACAAATAATAAAGAAGGATAAAATTAAACATTAAGCACTTTATGTGTAAATCGGGAACTCATTTCTAATTAACTGTCTCAATGACTAAGGCCCGTATTCATAGTCAGACCTTATATACTTAAGACTCCTTAAAATTTATCTTTAGATGCTCAGTAGTCAATAAAATAATTCGTAGAGCATCTAAAGATAACGTTAAAGTAGCTTTAAGATCTGACTATGAATATGGGCCTTAATTCGCTGGAAATCATGGCAACCGCTGAGTAATCATGTTGAGACGTTGAGTGCATTTAGAACCGTTCAGCAAACAATTATAAAACGGTTGCACAACCGTTGCGTACTGCTAAACGCACCCATGTATTTGCAAAACAACTTTGATTGCCAATGATTTATTTAAATTCAGTGATATGGGAAGCCATATTGATTCGATCCTACCATACTTGAGGTCGCTCGATTCCTTTACATCCTCGTTTATCATATGATGAGATTGGTCTCCTTAAGATTTAGTCTATGTTTATATTCTTTTTTTTTTTTTTAGAAAAAAAATTGTTCTGACGGAGGACAGAGACAGATTTACAACTTTAATCCATGTGAAAAATAAAGAGACATCTAATGTAATCAACGATGCTATTTTATTGTTTATAATCATAAAGATATTCTAACCTATAATTAGATAAATAAAAGGTATGCTCAAATATTATAGGTATTCCAATAATGCACCAAATATTATTCTTGCACTTGATTACATGCATGTATATAGTCATAAAGGTTATGGCTGAGTTGAAATACTTTTATTTGAAAAATAGTATGTAATGCAAAAACGGCGTTTTAAATAAAAATATTTCAAATACATACCTTTAACTCTTTTTTTTTGTTTAATTATTGAACAATAGATAAAGCTTATGAAAAGAATTATTATAATAACTTGTAGAATATGTAAGTTTAGAGTTCTGTTGTATCAACAGAATATAATATGAATGAAAAGAAACAAATTACCAATATAAGCCAACACAAGTTCTCAGTGTGTAGTTTTTATATAATTTATTCGAAATAAATAATAAAACATAATATTTATTTTTTATATTTATATATTTATTTTATAATATATTTTATAATTTGTTTGTTTCTTTTGATTTATTCAACTGAGCTTTTTAATTATTTTATTTTTTAATATGAATGATATTTGTGTGTGTTTGTGAGAGAGAAAGAGAGAGACAGAGAGAATAACATAATTAATCATACTTTTCTAAAAAGGGATTAATAAGTGCTGCTGTGTCTTTTGGATGTGTGAGATGAAGATGATGTGTTGCTGATAGAATCTCAAATTGTACATTCTCATTAGCTGCTCTCATTATTTCCAGCGTTTTATAAAAGTGTTCTTTGTCCTCACCAAGCAAATTAATTTCTCCTTTGATTATTAAATATGGACACGTTATAAAGTTTGCGTACTCTTCTAATTGCTCCGGCGAAAACATACTATGGATGGGTGTAACTCGTAATCTAGGATCTCTGTTTACAATGTACATTCCATCTTCTTTTTGTCTAACACCTCTAGTCATGATTATTCTACTTGATGATTCATCCAAATTTATAAGCCCTGTAGATATCTTCTTCATAATCTCACTTTGTGTGTAACTAGGTTGAACACTACTTTCTTCAAGTTTGAAAAACGCATCAACTGCATTTCTAAATCTAGGAGTATGCCTACTTGCGCTAGTAGAGATAAATTTAAAAAAGTCCAAAGCTATAACGTATTGCAACTCCATCGGGAAAGTAGCAGCATACCAATATATTGTCATTGCACTTAAGGAATGCGCCATTACTTTTATTTTTTCCCATCCAAAATATCTTTTAATTCTTTTGACTAACAAAAAGTATATCAATTCACTATACATAAATCCTGGTGGTATCCACGAAGATAGACCGTGTCCAGGTAAATCAATTGCCAAAACTGGAGTATTTTTCATAATAAGAGGTGCTATGTTATCAAATGATGCAGCATTGTCTTGCCAGCCATGCATAGCCAGGATAGGTTGTTTATTTTGCAATCCCCATAACTTACCTAAAATAAAACTTTTGTTTATAGTGTAAATCATGCTTGCTGAAAAAAAAAAAAACTATATACAAGTACCGGCTACTTTGCCCCAAGGTACTGGAATTTCTATATCCTTAACTTCATGCTGTGCAGATTTACTGTATGCCTTTACCAACTTTATAGAAGAACTTGTTCTCAAACAATGAATCACAAATCGTTTAAACATCATACTAAAAAATATATATATAGCATACAGTTATAAAGGTTATAAACATACCAAAATTCTATACTTTTGTAATAATATATTGTACATATGAAATATTTTTACTTTTTTGTGTAATCAGTATCTTGTTTTGAACTAAATGGTAAAGCTTTGAAACCGAAGTCTTTATAGTACTTATATTTAAGACTTATATTTAATAATAGTATTTACATTTAAGACAGTTTTAAATGATATTTTAAGTCAATTTTACAATTGCGTAAAAAGAATAGTTTTAAATTTAAATAGCTGTAGTTGTGTAATAATTGACTAACCATAAAATCAAATGATCTCATACTAGATTGAACTCAATTGAACTCTTAGGGCGGGTTCACACCTTGACGGAAAAGCGGAAAGCGGAAGAGCAGTTAACCGATCAGAACTCGCGCTGGTAGTAAATAGTACAAAACTAACAGAAATTCGACTACCTGATTGGCTATTGCTTTTCCACTTTCCGCTTTTCCGTCAAGGTGTGAACCCGCCCTTAGAACATATATTAAGCCCTAAACACAATGCGAGGGAATAGCGATAGCGATAAGTTTCAACTTATCAGAAATCGAATACACCGAAATACGCATTTTTGATAGGTTGAAACTTATCGCTATTCCCTCGCATTGGCTGTGTTCAGCAGAAAAAGCAGCTTTGCAACTGTTGTAAACTTTGATTGGTTGATTTTCTTATGCGTCTTGCAAATATAGGTTTAATCAGGTTTAATAGAGCAAAGCTTAATGCCTGATTTATGCTTCGGTCTTAAGGTCTTAATCCTAAAGTTCAGCCAATAGAGTTCAAATTTCGGTTAGAACTGGCAGCTTTATTGGTTGAATTTTAGGATCTTGGGATTAAGACCTGAAGCATAAACCAGGCATAAGACTGAGTCCACAACCTTGCTTTAAGAGGCTCTAAACCGTAAAGCCATAAGAAATTGACCAATCATAGTTGACTGCGAGAAAAATAATCTACTGTGATTGGTCAATTTCTCACAGCTTTATGGTTAAGAGTCTTTTAAAAATAGGTTGTGGACCCAGCCTAACCTGTCTTCTTCCACCGTTCCACTTCCACCGTTCCACTTCCACCATGATTTTGAGTAATTTGGCAGTGTGCACAATTCGACGTTTTATCTTGTCTCGCGTAAAAATCATTCTTTCTCAAGCCATTGGAGGTAACGAAACGATTGAATTGGTAGAAGGCAATTTGATGAAACGGACAAGAGCAACTACGAGGATTCAACAAGGGAATGAAATTGAGAAGAATAAAGATGAGGAAGATACAGTTATTAAGACCCAAACAACGCCGGTTTGTTTACATCTTATGTTTGTATCGTTGTCGCTAAATAAATACAAGTTTGTCAGCTAATTTATTTTAAAATGCGCGGTGTCGAAATAAATAAAAAATAAATATTTCTTTAAGAATCAATACTTCTCCCTTATTTTCTCTTTCAGCGGAAGTATCGCAACTATCCGATAATCTCAACTTTTATTATTTATATTCACGCAATGTTACCAGCGTCTGATTCTCATCAGCCCTTGTCATTTACATTAGAATAATTTTTATTTTTCAAACGTGTGATTTTGGAAAACAGTTTTATCATACATGTACAATAAATTTAACATTAAATTTTCTATAATTTTTGAGCTTGTAAAAATTCCTTTTAAAAATAGTAGAGAAAAAATCATCTAATTTAAAAAGAAATAAATTATAATAGTATCTCTGAAAACAGTGTTTAAAAGAATTTTTTTACAAAACTTTTATTATGTAACATCTTATAATATTATTAATGTACTATTGATAGTCAAAACTTGACTGAAACATTTATAATTTTTTATATTTTTAAAATTATAAAATTTTAAATAATTTTAAATATATGACTTGATAAAAACACCTTTTGTTATGGTTGTATCCTCCGTATTATTGATGTTTAAAAATAAATTTTTCTATTTTTTGTAAATTAGATTTTTTAAATCTAAATGTACAATTAGAAAGAGCATTAAGTATCATATGATTTTTTTGTCTAAAATATTTTTTATAATTACGACTATTTCTATAATATACTTTTTCTTTCCTTTCTCTTGCCTTCTTGATCAAAAAGGCAAGAGACAAACAGCAAACAAGAAATAGGAAACAAAAAGCACATTGTAGAATTAGCCTAACTGTTTGATAAAGATGTTTTATCCTTTAAAACTAAAAACTAGAAGGTATATAAAAATGTATATCTTTTAAGTTTTTGTATTTAACAAGGGATTTTAGAAAGAATCAAATGGGTATCGAGCAGTTGGAATACTTCCCTTGTTAAAAATTATACTGAGTTAATATTAACATTTTTTGTTTAACATGATTACTGAAAAAGTAAATAGATATAGTATTGGAATAATATATTAAATGATTAATTTATTAAATTAATTTAATTTTGTTTTTTAACAAAAACAATAAGTTACACTCTTTTGAATATTTGACTTCTGTCATATGGACTATACATATAAATAGTTTACAAATTACAGCTTTTTTTTCAATACAGCTTTTTTTTTTAATTATGAATGTCTTTTTATCTAATGGAAGTATTATATTTTTGCTTCAGTGTATTATTGCTTTCTATTAGGTGATATTAGAAAGACCAAAATTGAACCTCCAGTCCTTACGAAGTCAGGAACATTGGGATAGTGAAAATGTATACAACACGACAGATTCTCAAATTTCTACATCCTCTAAAAAATCCAAGAATTGTCAGAAAAAGCCAAAAAAAGAAACTCACATTGAAAGTTAGCCAAAATTAACTAGTCTCTCAGTTAAAAAATTTTTATTTTTTTTTGTAATACATTTATTTATAATACTTATACAGAAAGAGAGGAAAGTAAGGTGGAAAAGTTGAAATCAAACACAAGTACTAGCAAAGGAAAACCAAGAGCAGTCGTGGATTTACAGATGATGAAGGCAGAATTTAGTCAATTAAAAGATCCTCCTGTAACACCATGGGAAAAGGAATTGTCCTCTAGCCGATTGCAATATGAATTCTTTAACATTCCTTGTGAAGAGCTGGCACAGCGGTTGTTAGGTGCATAGAATTTATACTTATAATATTACACATTATATTTGTTAAAAATTATTTTTATTAAAAAAAAATTTTGTGGCAGTTAAAAAATATCCTATACTTTTCTATTGTTTTGTTTTATTTTATATATTACTGCAATAAAAATTATGTACTCGTTAAAAAAATTTATCTTCTGATAGGAAAAGTACTTGTAAGATATTTCGAGAATGGAACTATTCTCAAGGGTAGAATTGTAGAGACTGAAGGTTATTTAGGTGCGATTGACAAGGCTTCACACTCTTACCAGAACAGAGTTACACCTCGCAACTTACCAATGTACATGTCACCAGGAACTATTTATGTTTATATGACATATGGCATGTACCATTGCTTCAATATCTCTAGTCAAGGTGAGTAAAAATCGATTAATTTCATTACTTATATGTATGAAGAATTAAAATATGTTCCACTTTTTCACTAACTTTAAATCATTGAAAATAATATACAATAACTATCTATTATATAATTTTATAATAAATTAAAAAATTAATAAATTCATTATAAATTAAAAAAATATAAATTTATAATGAATTAAATATTACTTAGAAAGTTGTACAATAGTTATTGCATAATCAATATTATTTTCTAATTAATATCATGTGGCATAATTTTTAAAATGACATTAAAAATATTGATTCAATAGATTTTTTAGACATTCTTTAAAATGATTTAATTTTTCTAAATCAATGTTACATAAATATAAACATTGTATAAATATCATAGAAATATTACATATTATATAGTAATACATTTCATTGCCAGTAATATTTCTGTGATTCATTTTCGTTGTAATATTCCGGTGACATCATAATATTTCAGCAATATTTTTAATAAATATTTCTACTAAAATAATATTGCTGTGATATTGTGATATTATGTGCTATGTGGGTATTTAGTGTTACAATGCTAAATAATAGCCTTTAATGGTCGAGCAAGATTTTAGGTGCTATAATAATTCCGGGTGAATTTATATACTACGTATGTAGTTTTTTAAACTACGCGCCGAACAATTTTTCGGTCTTGAAACGTAACTTTACGAAACTACCGCAATAATATCACGAGTTAAATTAGGTTAGCAATTTAATAATTTTTGTTGCTCTTTATGCATCTTAAATCGGTCTTAATAATGTTGAGTGATAAATTAAAATCTGTAAATAATTAATTCTTATTGCGAAAAATATTACCTCGGTTGAGAATCGAACTCGGATCTCTTACATTCTGTGCGAGATGTCCTTATCAGTTAGACTACTGTTAAAGGCTATTTCTTATTGATTGTGTTTCTCACATGTACGGTCCTATAAGATTTAATATTTAAATAATGCTAAATAATATTTAGAAAGGAATGCACATGTATTAATCAAAGCGGTAGAACCGCTGGTGGGCTTCGAGTATATGGAATTGCTAAAAAATATGCGACGGAAGGATAACGAAAGAGAAAAACAAATCGCGAAACTTGCGACGCACCTAAAGCAATACAAACTTTGCAATAATTCCTTCAAGATTTGCGATGCCTTTGCAATCGACCAAAACACTTTCGACCGGAAATTCGTTTATGCGTGTAATAATTTGTGGCTCGAAAACCAACCTTTTGTAAGGTCTCCTACTATAGTAGCCGTACCATCCGAAAACCTTAAATCAGACAATAATTATGTTATAAAGACACGATATTATGTGCTGGGAAGTCCCAGCGTCGATGAGAAGAATTCTGATTGTGAAAAACTCGCTTACATTGCACAATAAGTTAGACTTTATAAATAGAAAAGTACACGGAACTTTCTATATTCACAAGTCTGTATATGCATGATAAATTTCAAATTTTTCCTTATTTATAAAAATATATTCTTAAAAAGTTAAAAATTTTCAATTTTATTAAAGAATTCATAAAATCTTAAATTTTAATTTTAGTTTCCGCACTTAACAAACTTTTCGAGATAAAATTAAATATTAAATCTGAACAAAAGTTCAAAGCACTCTCCTTGTATAAGTTTGTAATTTCAAATCTTGCTCATAACAAATATGTACTCAAGAAAGAGTTAATCGTTAAAGAATTAAATAAATATATTTAATCAATTATAACAATTATAATTATGAATGTTTGATTTTTTGTATTATTTTGAATTGCATCGTCAATTTAAAATCATAAATTTTTAATCCCACAATGTAGTACATAATTGTTGATGCCTACATAGAAATAACTTATTTTATATTCACCTAAAAGTATATCTTTAAACAAAAATTTAGAAGAATAGATTTTTTTACATCTATAGCTTCGAAAGGTATTCACCTCATTGTTGATAAGGTGACGGATGCGCGGTGCTAGTACGAGCTGTGGATCCTATAGAAGGTATGGAGTACATGGCTGGTCAGCGTAGCACCCCGAAAACAAGGAAAGTCGCTCTAAAACCACACGAACTATGCAACGGTCCTTCGAAGCTCTGCATAGCATATCAACTTGACAAACAGCACAGCAAGTACTCTCTCTGTACGTGGAAGAATCTATGGATCGAAGATGATCGTGCGTCAGGGGATATCAAAGTTGTAAAGTCTGCCAGGATTGGAATCAATAGCTGCGGTCCAGAATGGGCCAATAAGCCTTTACGTTATTACATTTATGGCAATAAGTCCGTTAGCAAGAGAAATAAAAAAGCAGAGATGGAAATTTCCTAACTGCTCGAAGTTGATCTTTTATCGAGTTCTATCTGCATGCTTCCACATAAAAAGAGGTTAATATTTATATCGATTATATATAAGAACATTTTTATAAATCTTAATATAAAAAGCAAAAAATCAATATTTAAATGAGATATTAATATTGAGATATCATCACAAATTATCAGCACAATATACAATAGTTTTATTTTCATTTTTTTTTTAAATAAATACTAATGGTTTTTCAATTTATTAACATTTTGCTATAAAAGACTAATATATAGTTTAAGCTAATAATTTATTTATTTTTACAAAAGCATAATAATACTGATAAAAATTGATTATGAATATTGAAATATTTTTACATTTTTTTTACAATTATTGTGAAGCAATAATTTTTCGAAAAAATTTAAAGATAAATTTATTAAAGAAGAACTTATATACTGTAGGGCAGTGTTGAGTAAGATTTCAATTCAAAATGTATACACATTTATTTCCGATATGAATAAATTATTCGATTTTAATAAATTTTAGTAATGATTAAACTAATTGAATTTGTTACAATGATTGGATCTATTGTAAATGTTAAGCTTTCTCTATTACAAAATAATAAAAAATTTCTATACACACACACACACACACACACACACACGCGCGCGCGCGCGCGCGCGCACAATAGGTTTATCTATATAAAGATATTATATATGTAGGTTTCGAATTAGAATCCTAATAATTAAATGATCATAATAATTTTACTGTTTTACGAGCTAAAAATCTGAAGTTCAACGCATCGTAATATTTTTTTCAATTCATTTTAAGAAGTTGAATACAACTAATAAAACTTAAAATCTCAAAAATTTAACGTTGAGAACGTAATAATTTATGTCCAAGCTATTATTATCATGTATAGAAGATATATATATATATATATGTATAATACAGAACGCACAATTAATCTCTTTTTTAAAAAAGAAGAAAAGAGAAGCGTGCTCTATCACGTTTTCAGCGAGAAAATTTCATTACGTCCATTCCTTCATCACACGTTCATAATCTTCTTCCTCAATGAATGGTTTGTCTATTGATCTGCAAAGTATAACCAATCATATTATACCGATCATTTTGTTAAGATCTAAAAATTTATATTTCAATTATAAAATTTCATGTTTTGTTCGATATCCAAAGAATATTGTAATTTCAATTTTTTAAGAATATATCACCTGTATAATATTTACCAAAAATAAATTTAAAAAACTTATTTAATTATTTATAGAACAATTAATTTCTGTAATGTAATAAAAAAAATTTACATAAATTTTAAATTAAAATATTCTTCCAAAAATGTAGAAGTTGAAATATAACAGCAAATAAAGTAAATAAATTATAAAAATGTTTTGTTAAAAGAATGTGATATTATTTACACAATTGTTTCTGTTATAATTCATTCATTTTGTATATATGAAAGTTTAAATGTTAACACCTTTTTAATTTTAATTTGTCTGTTGCAGAGACATACGGTCGATACATTCTTAAATAAGACTTAAATTTGAAAATTTTGTAACTAGAATTCTTTAACTGCTTAACTACTAAACTTACTCTATCATAAGTTCCCCACAGTAGAGACACTCTGAAGCAACCAGCTCGTCGATATCAGTTTTAATTTTGTCCCTCGTGGACAATGACACAGAGGTCGTCGAAGTAGTATCTTCAGGCCGATTTGAAATAGCTGTAAACTGTCGCTGAAGATCTGCCAATTTCGTCCTCTGATCCATGGATAGCATCGGCGTTAATGCTGCCACTAAACAATCACTATGAAATTTATGACCGCAGGGAAATACATAGAAAGGTCTTAGCAACAGTTGCACCTCACATGTATTACACGTATCCCGAGCATGCACAAAGGTGCATCTGGAAAAAAATTCATAACATGATATACAACTGACTATATAAAGAAGAAATCCTTACAGCGCAGATTGTGGAGATGTAATATTAAAAATAGCGGAAGAATGCTCTATCTAAGCACCTAGTTCTGAAAGCTTGAATGTCCTTTCGTATTAGTTCTGCTGCTTTCGTGGCTTCCTGCATCTCCTCCTTAAGATCTTGAATATGCTGGTTGTATTCCTATTACATATAGGAGAGAAAAGAGTAATCATTAAACACACACATAGATAATATAAAAAATACAAAATTAGATGTTCTTAGAAAAAAAATTAGTTAAGAATTTAACTATAAATTCAAAAATAATTCTAGTTTGTACCTGCAGGGAATTGCAAATAGCTTCTTTGAAATGATCAATCGTGACGAAATCGGAGAAAAAGGGTAAAATATCTTCTATCCTAACTAAATCGCAGTGTTGTAAAAATTCCATTGCTTGCTGTATGTCGTCTTTTTCTCGTACTACGTGCTCCGCTGCGCACATGCAATAAAAATGTATATTTCAAAATAATCTAGAATAATACACGGATTTCAAAGTATCAGGAATCTTATATAAAGATCGGCTATTTTATTCCAGTTAATATTATTGATTAAAAAATTGCCCTGAATTACCTATCTTCAACCATAGTTTTTTCTTCAGCTCGTCATCATGATCAGATGGCATAGCAGCAATCTGCTTGGCGAGATCTACACTGATTGTAAGCGCAAGATCTACAGCGATGATCCACAGACCGAGTAAAGCTGACAATTGCACGCAGGCTTCTGTCAAGCCTACCTCTTGGCACAATCGCAACGCGTAATGCACGTCGTAATGCACCATGCTGATATCTTGACCTGGAAATAATAATAAATCATTCCGTTTCAAATGATAAAGCTATAATAAATCAGCAGATTATAATTCATAACTGGAGTAAATAAAAAACAGCTAGTATTCACCTTGAGAGCTTATGTATCGCATTACTTCGTCCTGCTTGTAACGGGCGTATAGAGACAAAAGAAAGTTGTGAATTGCTTGCTCCTGTGAGCCCTGTTTGTATACGCAAAACTCTAAATATTTAATAATTTCTTTCGCCTATAAAAAATGAGAATTATCGACGGAGCTGTTTATGTATAATTAGAAGAAATAATAATCTCTACATATTATTTTTTAAATGTAAATTTTAATCTTAATTAGATAATTATGATAATTATTATTTGTTCTCTCTTCCGTACGTGTTTCTCGTCACTGTTGCATGAGACTAAAGCTGGCAAAAGCTTTGCTGGCTTCAGTGAGGATCCTTGCGAAATTAAAACAGCCACCGTGGGCCGCGGCAACTCTTGTAACAGTATGCCGGCGAATTGATAGAAGAGATCCTTATTATTTTGACTTTTAAGTACCCCTAGCGCCTCTAGATAGTCATTTTTATACAGATGTTGACGAATCACTTCCTCATAATTGCAGTGCATTATTGTTAGACGTATCAGATTATCTTTGTCACCATGACTGGCCATCAAATCATATATTGTGCTACGATTTTTCCTGATACATTCCTGCATCCAAAATCCCAATTAACGTTTTTCAAATTTAATTTTATGATAAATCGATTTAATTTGATAAGTCAAAAAAAGAAAAATATAATATTTATTAAATATAAGATGTGAGTTTTAATCATTAATATTTAAAAGAATAAAGTTATAAACCATATAAAATATTAAAAACATGTAAAAAAGTGTTCAATGTAAAAATATCAAATTGATCAAAATTTATTTTTATATCTATAATTTAAAAAAACTTTCGAAATACTCATCTTAGTTTAATATATCAGAGGCTCAAAAATTAAAAACAAAATTAGAAAGGACTGCGAGCTATATGCTGAGGAGAAAATAGAGCATTATTTCCAATAAATGGATACACATATTCACATCAGCCACTAAATAATAATTGTACACTGAAAATGACTCGATATGAATCGAAACGTTTGTAATGTTATCATTTGACGAATATACATGTAATTATAAATTGATTTATATTTAATAGCACGACAATCCTGCTTGGCTCGTAGTCCTTTCTAATTATTCTATTTTTTATTTAAGTTTATTAAGCAACAGATCTCGCATCCTTCGATTCTTATTTTTTTCAAGTACCTCAACTTTTGGAATGGTGAGGAAGCTGTCAAACTCCTTCTGTAATTCCGTATACTGCAAATCGTGAAGATAAGATGTATTGTTACTGCGCAGAGCTCCCATTTGATTCATAAACAGCTCTATCACCCAAATAACAATCATCGTTATCTGCGTCTTGTCTTGCATCTTCAAGCCGTCGAGTTTCTTGAAATAAATAATCAGATTCATTTTAAAATAAATAACTAAAAAACTATTAATACAATTATAAACAAAAACAAGAAAATTTAAGCTTTTTTTTTTTTAAACATTCATATAAATGTAAATAAAAGTAGAAAAAAAAATTGGATTAAAATTATGTAACAAAGAAATTCTAAATTATACATAACTAAAATAATTTGTTTATATATGTACAATATATATATAAAATATTAATTTGTAATCATTGCAATTGATTCAAATATATATTAATTCAATTTTATGATCGTTTATTGTGAAATAGAAGTGCTCTTATATTTTACCTTACGCAAGAATGTTTTCAGTGCTTCGATTTGCCATTCTTGCAAAAATTTTAACGAAATTTCCTCGAAAGACGAATGTGTGTCAGCGTATATTAAAGCGCTCTTTTCATATCTGCAAAATCATATTCAAAATATTACAAGAGAAAACAAACTAAATAAACAATCATAAATAGAAATTAGACCAATATAAGTCAAATAAAACATATAATCTTATTTTCGTTTAAAACGGATACATAACGAATATATTTGCATACTTTTGCAAATACATTTTTCGGTTTTATAAACTGCATACGTTGGATTCGAAATGCAATCACAAACTAAACTAAAATATTAACATCATAAATTTGACCGATCGTAAATTTAACAATGATGCTATAATAAGCATCTCAAAAACCTGTAAAAAACTTATTACAAAAAACATCACAATTTAGATAAAAATAGACAAAATTTTAAAAAATATTTATACATACGCAAACACATGTACGAGTATATAAACTTACTCTTTATTCTTAAAGAGCATTTCTGCTTGTTTCACGAGCACTTGATCGATATGCGCCGGATTATCTTTACAATACTGCTTAGCCAGCTCAAACTCGCCTTTATCGATATATACCTGAGCGAAAGATTATCAT